ATGGGCGGATGAGAATGGTTTTAAAATAAACACCGAGAAAAGTACTTGCGTACTCTTCTCCAACAAACGAGGGGTAATGCCACTTCCAAATATTACGATCAAGGGAGACCAACTCTCTGTGAGAAGCGAGCATAAATTCCTAGGAACTACTTTAGATTCTAAGCTCACGTTTATTCCCCATATTAAACATGTAAAAATGAAATGTCTGAAAGCGATGAACCTCCTAAAGCTCCTATCACGTACAACATGGGGTAGTGATCGAAAGTGCCTCTTGAAGTTATACAAAAGCCTTGTCGGGTCGCGCCTTGATTATGCCTCTATAATTTATCATTCCGCAACGCCAAGTGCATTAAAAATCCTAGACCCCGTTCACCATTTGGGTATCCGACTTGCAACCGGTGCTTTCAGGACAAGCCCGATCCAGAGCCTCTATGTAGAGTCGAATCAGTGGTCACTTCACCTGCAGCGATCCTATAGCAGTTTCACATATTTTATAAAGGTACGTGCAAACATCAAGCATCCATCTTATTCAACTATAAACGATATGACCGCTGCCACCCTCTTCCATAATCGACCCACAGTGAGAAAGCCGTTCTCCTTGCGTGTGAGAAACTTATGTGAGGAAATGGGTGTTCCGCTGCTGGAACTCTGTCCTACGCCCACAACGATACTTTTACCGCCGTGGCAGTGGCAGCTTATACAATGTGACACCTCATTTGTTGAGATCACTAAACACGCACCAGAAGCACATATTGAAATGCATTTCCGAGAACTTCAGTCCAACTACTCATGCGTAGAGTTTTATACTGACGCTTCTAAGTCGCATGCAGGGGTGGCTTATGCAGCCGTCGGACCATCCTTCTCGGAATCCGGCATGCTGCACCCGGAAACAAGTATATTTACGGCTGAGGGTTATGCACTATTGTCCGCTGTGAAGCATATACGGAAGTCAAACATACAAAAATCAATTATATTCACAGACTCGTTAAGCGTCGTAAATGCATTAAGATCCCTTTTCAGATTCAGAAATCCGATAATAATTGAGCTATATTCCGTTCTGTGTACAGCGTATATGTCCAACCAGCATGTCACTATTTGCTGGGTACCTGGCCATAGAAGTATCGAGGGCAATGTGTTAGCTGACCAAATGGCCACGTCAATTATAATGCGCGCTATTAACCCCACCGCTACTGTCCCTGCAACAGATCTAAAACCCTTTCTACGAAAGAAACTGCGAAACCACTGGCAACGCTTGTGGGACACAGAAATAAATAATAAGCTTCATTTGATTAAGCCGCGGTTGGGTTACTGGTCCTCCGCTACAAGAACACGGCAAACTGATGTCCTATTCTGTCGCCTCAGAATAGGACACACTTATGGTACTCATAACTTTCTTCTGACTGGCGATGAGCCTCCTACTTGTGGTAGATGTGGTGAGAGGCTAACCGTCCTCCACGTCCTCCTGGAGTGTCCGGAAGCTGAAAGTGAGAGAAAAAAATATTTTGCTTTAGCATACCGCTATAATCTTCCTTTACATCCGATTATGTTCCTCGGCGAAGAGCCGCTTTTCGATGCAAAATCTGTTTTAAGCTTTTTAAAGGATGTAGTATTGAATGTTTTTAGCCCAACATTGAATGTTTTTAGCCAAACAGGTTCATAGCGCATCCTCTGTTCAGAGGATACCGCTGTGATAGCAGCCTTTAATGAGCCCAGGCCTCCATGCTCTTGTTTTAAGGGTTCTGTCGAGGCACTGGTGCTCCATCCCAAGTTTTTATTTCACATACATATCACTTTTAAACCATTTTATGTCTCCATAGCACACATCATTTGTCATTGCCATAATCTTACTATATATATATTTTTACGCACCTAAAGCGACTGTTTTTTAGGCCCATTTACAGCCACGTCATATCTGTTTTATCTACACTGCACATTGTACAATTCACTATCATCGTTCTGGCGCTCTTTGGCCACATCTGGCCCTTGCGCCAATAAACTCCACTAATCATCATCATCTTTGTTCATTCATTCATTCACAGAACTTCCGAATCCATGTGAGTACCGTTAGGCTGAGCCTTATGGCGTCATCGTGGATCTTCTGGACTGCCCGTAGCTAATGTTGATAAGACGCTTTTGGCACCATCTTCTGCCAGTAAAGCCATTGTTCTTTGGGGTTGGCGAGAGCGGCGAGACACCCCGCCAGCATGTGTCTGATTCCAGTGATGCAATCGCACATGTCACACTCATCTTGAATTTCATTGTCAGGGTGAATTTTATTTAAAAAATACAGATTGGAGTAAGTTTCGCTTTGCAGTAAATGTAGCGTGACTGCCTGAGCCCTGTTCTGCTTTACGTGTGGCAATGGGAAGTAATAATATTTTGTGATGTCGTTGTACGTGATTAAATGATCTTTCTGATCCACGGAATGGTAGTGGGCGTCGGCTCGGGTCTCATCGGCACGGCAAGTGAGTCCTCGTGCCAGGTCATTCATCACCTCATTGAGGTTGACCCGAGTCTTGTTCTCTTGTCCCATATGCGCAGGAAACTATTGGATTTCAGTATCGGAAGCATGGACTTTGTTCATAAGTTTACCCACAGTCCCACCGACATAGCCCTTGTTAAAGCTCGCAATTGCTGCTTTAAAGTCACTATATATGTATGACCATTTTCTGTTCCTGATAGCTAAAGTAATCGCGGCTTGCTCCACCACCGTAGAGTTCTTAGTGAGTATAGTCAGGGCGCCCCATACCTCTCCCTGGCTGTCGATTACTACAGCTGTGTAGGCTTCTGCCTTTCACCCAGGCTGCGTCTATCATGACCGCCTGTTGCCCCTACCTGTTCGGTTTCTTTCAATAAAGCTTTCGCTCTCACTTTTCGCCTGCTAACATTGTGTTCTGGATGCATGATTCTCAGCAGGGGAGTGGTTCTCATCACATCTCTAAGCTCCGTGTTTAGTTCAACCTTGACCTCCTTCGGGTTCTTCTTTCTATTCTGGACTGACCCAATCGCTTTGAGTATCAGCCTACCCGCACGTGTCCTCTTTAGTCTTTCCTGCTGCGCTATCTGTTGCGCTTCGGCCATCTCTTCAATGGTATTGTGCATGCCTAGGCTCATGAGTTTGTCGTTCGACGCACTGTCGGGTATACCTAGGGCAGCCTTGACTAACTTTCTGATAATGGTGTTGAGCTTGTTCAGCTCGGCGTCCGATCATCGGAGAAGACCTGCCACGTAGGTGAAATGACATAGAACGAAGGCGCGTAGTAGCCTTACAGCGCTGTCCTCACTAAGACCCCTGTGTCAGTTGGTGAGTCTCTTTAGTAGACTGAGGACTTGGTTGTCTTTTTGGAAATATGCTGAATGGCAGTGAGCTTGCTACCTCCAGCTTCTATGTGGGAGCCTAAACCTTTAATTTTTGTGACCTGCTTGATTGCGATCCATCGTGACAGCGCAAGATAATCTTGGGTTCCTCACCTGGGACAAAGTACTTGGGTTTTTTACTCCTACCTCGATCTTTTATAACCAAAAGTTCTGACATCGCCACCGAATTATTTAATCCCATTGTGTCGAAAGTGCTTTCCACGATGTCTACACTCTCCTGAAGTCTTGTCTCCATTTGGTTTATGTTGCCATTGGCGCTCAATATGGTTATATTGTCGGCATATATTGCGAAGTGTATACCTTCCATCCGCTCCGATTCTCTCGCAACTCTGGTCATTGGTAAATTATATAACATGGGTGACAGCACAGCTTCTTGTGGGGTGCCTCTGTTTCTCAGTGTCCTAACCTCAGATTTTAGTTCTTCTAGTGTGGGGCTTGCTTGTCTATCACCAAGAAACGACTTGACTATGCGGGAAAGTCTCCCTCTTAGACCCAGCTCAGAAAGGACCTCGAGGCGGGAGATACTCTCCCACGAGCTGCCGCATGATTACCTCTTGAGTCCTGAACTGGCTCATCTGACGTACTAGTTTTGCAATGGCCGTTCGCTTGTTAGACTGAGTTTCGTTCTCATTCAATAGGTGTTCTTTGTGTATTAGTGAAGTACAATTTAACAATCCCGAAAACACCACTCTTACCGTGACACTATGTTTAGCAAGCGAGGAAACGCGCGAAAATAAAATGCAGGTGGCGACGCCACCTTGAGATTCCCACCATAAACACAGTGACATCATAAATTTTGAAAGCGCCTGTTTCGTCCTATGTAGCTTCCAATCGATAAAAATGAAGTGCATTGTAATCTGTGGGTGCCATAGACTGAGCATATGTAGTTTCAGAAAGTTTAATCGAGCCAATGCCATGGAAATATCGAAATTGCATCTTGAAATTTTTTTTGTCAAGCGCGGAGATTTTGGCACAAAATGTAAAAATGAAACTTCAACCTTGATTTTCTCCTCTAATAATGAGCTTGTGATAGTGAAACGTATGGCATTAGAGTTCTCAGAATACAGTTTGTCAGTCTAAACAAAATCATTGTTCTTCTTGAGAGTCCCTTTAAAAAGGCCCTGCTAGATTTTTTTTTTTTTTCATGTAGTATTCAGGAAACAACGCCAATCTGCAGTCGAGACTTTTGTGAACATGTCAGCCAAATATTGTCACACTGCATGCAGTAGCGAATGGGGAAATTAATGCGAAGAACAGCCGAAAATAGCTCTCTCTCTTTGGCAATGTCACTGTTAGCAGCACGCCTGGCAGGAGAAGGCGAGCATGGTAGGCCTTCGGCCTGCCTTAGATTATGCTAAATACACTCAAAGATCACTATAAAAAAGTTGCACATTACGTGAAATAAGTTTCGCATATTTGAAAATATCATCTTATAAAGGTTAATCTAACACTATATTTATTGCAAAAGTGTTTTTAATTTACTTAGTTATAACCAATGTTTCGTTATACCGAGGTTTTTGACTGTTACTCAAAGTGTGAACAGAATAGCCCGGCAATAAGTACTACTACTGCATGCCATAGTGGCCACTGAATTTTTCTAATCTCTTCTTTTTTCCCTGCAGAGTCTGATCTTGGGAAGCACCCCACGTCTTGCGACACCTTTGTGGCCCTGCCACCAGCCACGCGCAACGACTGCGTCGTGTTTGGCAAGAACTCCGACCGCCCTGCTGGGGAAGTGCAGGAGGTAGTGTACGTGCCCAAGACGCATCACGATGCTTCTGCCAAGCTGCAGGTGAGACTGCTGCTCTGCTGCAGTAATGTAGCCGCCCAATGCATCAGCTGTGAGAAAGAGAGAAAAAAAAAAAAGAAGACTACCAAGGCAATACCTGAATGCTGCTCAAGTCTTATTGTGGCGTGGTCATGACATACAAGAAGGCCGCAGTTGACTGGCTCAAGATGAAACTATTTTCTATAGGTGAAGGAGTTCCCATAAAAAAAGAGAAGTCACACTACGAGCAATACATGCTGTACATTGATAGAAGTGAACAGGGCGTCAGCTGTCTATTGATTTCTGCGGCAGGGCTGTGCAGAGGTGCTCAGAAAAGTATTCTAGAATATAGATATTAAAATACGTACACACAATGGAAGGCTGAAGTACAGATACTGAGATACATTTTTTCTTTGACATAACAGGATATTTCTGAAATACTTATGCACGAAGACTAAAAAATTGGCAGATCCCACGTACAGTGGAAATCGATGATATGCGGAACACGAATGATAACGGTTTATATGCCATTTTAAAGTCAGCAGAACGTTACGAGGTGGAGGTAAATGATGCCATACATGACTTCCGTGTCATGATTATCATGTTTGGATGTGTCGTTTACCTTCGTCGTCTATTCACGTCATGTGATACCAAATTTCGTATATGTGAAGCTAACAAAACGGCGGCGAGCAAGCTATGAGCGTGGTATGTTGTCATGTTTTTACATAATACGCATGTCACGATTATCATGTTTGCACCAGTCATATACTTTCGTCATCCATCGACCTCACGTAACGCCAAAGTTGGTATATATCGAGCTAGCAAAACAGCCGCGAGTGCATCATGAAGGGCACAATATACTCCTACGTAGCGTTGACGCACGTGCACGCTGGGTACAGTGACACTACGTTAGCAAAACGCGAGCACTTTGACGCCAGGTGCGACCGGCACGACCAGCGTCTGTCGGCACGGCCCGACGGAAACCGGCGCGAAATGTGACATGCTTTATTTCGCGCCCATGCATTACCCCGACAACATGCGTCTCCCTCGTTTCGTGATGGAGGGACGCCGGACGCACTGAAACGCGCATGTGTCAAAGCAACGCAGCACGGCCCGCGCCTGCGAGTATATGGCTGGACCGGCGCCTGGAGTGGCAACGCCGGCGTGACGCGACGAAATGAACGCCGGCGAGCACAGGCACCGCATCACGTCGAAATGTATTGGCGCCTTGACTGTGGCATGTAGTCACGTTCTCACATGACACGCATTTCATGATTATTATGTTTGCTCTAGTCACATACCCTCGTCATCCATGGATGTCACATAATACCAGATTTGCCATATGTGAAGTTAGCGAAACGGCCGCGAATGCATCATGAGTGTGGCATGTAGTCATGTTGTTACATGACATGCATGTCGTCATTATCCTGTTTGGATGTGTGATGTACCTATGTCGTCCATTCGCATTGCGTAATACCGAGTTTGGTACATGTGAAGCTAGCAAAACGGCCGCGAGCCCATCATGAGCGTAGCATGTAGTCATGTTGTTACATGACACACATCTCATGTTTATCATGTTTGCACCAGTATCATATCTTTTTCATCCATTCACGCCCTGTAATACCAAATTTGGTATAATTGACGTTAGCGAAACGGACGCGAGCGCATCATGAGCTTGGAAAGTAGTCATGTTGTTACATGACACACATGTCATGATTTTTATGTTAGGGTCTGTCGCTTGTGTTCGCCATGCAATCATGTCGTACCATACCAGCTTTGCAACATGCCATGTGAACAAAACCACCGCAAGAGCGGCAGCGCCATGAAATGTAAATTATGACATACATGTCATGATTTTCATGTTATGACTAGTCAAATATGTTCTTCATACAATCATGTTATGCCATACCAAGTTGGGTATGGCATAACAACTTGGTATGCCATACCCAACTATGGTATGGCATACCATACCCATTTGATACCCAATGGCCAGTATCAAATGGTATCAAATTTGATACCATTTGATAATGGTATCAAATGGCCAGGAAAGCTAAAAGTTGTAGGTGGCTAGACAGACACTGATAGACAGACAGACAGATAGATAGATACGCTCAATGTCGCCGAAGTTCGCTAAGAAATGCTTCGCATTTAAAAGTATCCTGAAATACATGTATAGAAATTCAGATACAAGAATAAAAGTACTGCAATTCTCGTTTGTTCGCGGCGATACTGATGCTCTGCAAAGATATTCATTAGGTGCATGAAAATATTGTATTTAATGTTTCCCGTCATTGAAACCTGCAAGTCAAGCACATCGCTTAAATCACTAACGAACACCTGTGATTTAAGAAAAACATGGCTGATCTTTCTGTAATAGTAATCAAGATAGCACGAAAGTAAAAAAATGTTCGTACTGAAGTAGTTCAATGTTGGCTGTACATTGAACAGAGCTTGCACAACGTCCATTGTTGGCTGGCGGCTACAGTACCGTTCAGCAGAGATGCACCCATGCTGACACTCGGTGATATATCACCATCAGGGCGTTCACATTAATGATCAATGATTAAGCGAACCCCTGTGGTAACTGCAGTCATTAAAGAAAGGTGAGAGCATAATCAGAAATAACAGTGTGACCAGCAGGGGAGCGTCATTCATTCGATAGAGAAATTCAGCTAAAACAAGGGTCGCATACTCGCGAAAAATTAGTGTTACTGAATGCCACAGCTGGACTGGAGGGAAACATGACGTGCGTCGTGTGTCATGTGTAGCCTGGCCGCAGTTTTTCTTGGGGCGAAGAATGCTGTTACTGTCAGGCGAGGCAAGTGCTCACTATGGCATATGCATGTGTTGCAGAGCTATTTGGATATGAATGGATGCTATGAATGAGGCCGATGCTTGGGCTAAAGCCGCCACCACGTGTGCATTAAGGCGTTGCCAAAGTTTAACTGCATCTATCGGAAATGCGGTGAAAGGGTCATGATACATTACTTCACTGCTCCCAGATGCCAACAACACCCCGCCGAATATCAGTACTGGCAGAGGAAAGTGGCATGTTTGTCAAGCCTATGTTGTAGTTGTGACCGTGGCACAATGAACAGTGTGCCCGGCATCTGTTGTTGCAGATCGAGAGGTCGCGTGGGTTTGACTTTGTTGATGGACACCTTTTTCGTTGTCCTTGTATCATGTGATTATATTTTTGATGTCATTTACCTGGTGGTAATACGTCACTGAAATCTTGGTGAACCCCAGCATAAAATACTTCAGTTGTGTTGCTGAGGTGGTTGCTGCACTAACTACACTTAAGCAACGAGAACTTCTAAAATAGGCTGTCATTTTGACAATGTCAGTTCACACTAAACAGGATACTCGTGAAATGACTTGCTGTCCATAAACAATAGGGGTGTGGCACCTGCCTTGTGAGACTGCGACTACCATCAGCAGTGTATGACAGTACTGCCTTTGTGAATTATGCTGTCACGGCATCGGGCGCTTCACTACGTGGAGGCATTCTGTGCATGTGGGGAACGCTTTGCCGCTTCTCACTGTGTAGGCAACGAACCGTGTGCCTTTGCTTGGTGTTGCACAAATGTCTTCCTTTCCCCTTAGAAACAGATCAGCTCATGCATGACTAAGAGATACCCCTGTCCTATAAGGTGTCACAATATAACCGATACATCATAAAAGTATTTCGCTGCTGAGATACAGGACAGCGAGGGCACCACAATGGCATTGTACTTGCGGTTTCTCTTTTTCACTTGCGCAATGAAACAACAGGAGCCAGCAAATTCCACGGAGTCTCGACATAACCACCAAAAAGCACAACTACAAAAATAACTCTGGGTATACCATGAACATTCACTGTATTGCACAGACTACTTCGCCACATATGTTGCCAGACTGCAGTGTGGTTCAACCCTGATATGAAGAGATTGGGTGGAAATTTTGTGCCACATCGAATGCTCGTGTTGCATGCTGGCTTGCCTCCTTGCGCCAGTATCGACTTTGTCGTCGTTGCTGCGTTCACTGTAGTGGAGAAGCAGAGAAAGAGTGATGTTGCTAAATTGAGCTGTAAAAACTAACCACAAAAACGAACTGGTTCATTCCACGATCCACGCGCGCCTCCTCGCGCGAATGTTGACTTCATTGTCATTGCTGCGTCGACTGTAGCAGAGAGGCAGAAGAAGAATGATGTTGCTACACTAAGCTACAAGAACCAATTGTTTTATTTCATGACCCACACGCGCCTTCTCGCACCAATGTCGACTTTGTTGTCGTCGCTGCGTCGGCACGTTGAACTTGTATATTTAATTAATTTCATATGGATTGTGTATGATTTCACAGGTAATGCTTGACTTGCACTCGTAAATTTGGCTTAATGGCTTTTTTAAAGACCAACTGCACCAAAGCTTAATTGGCATTGCAAATTTAGCTTTGGTTCAACAGAGGCAGAAGAAGAATGATGTTGCTACACTAAGCTACAAGAACCAATTGTTTTATTTCATGACCCACACACGCCTCCTCGCACCAATGTCGACTTTGTTGTCGTTGCGTCAGCACGTTGAACTTGTATATTTAATTAATTTCATATGGATTGCGTATGATTTCACAGGTAATGCTTGACTTGCACTCGTAAATTGGCTTAATGGCTTTTTTAAAGACCAACTGCACCAAAGCTTAATTGGCATTGCAAATTTAGCTTTGGTTCAACTCATTATCAATAAGCAGCACGCAACCAATGAAACATTCTTGACAAGACTGCAGGGCTGGCATTGTAGGCAGTGTAGTATAGTTACCAAAGTTAGCAGCCTATAGACAGCACCTAAGCAGACAACAGGCGTATTGTCGCTATGATGTTGCTGCATCTTCATATCTGAGCTCATGCCAAGGAGCCATGAATTCTGTGCCATGCCCCTGTCATGCGCCACTCCCATTGAGCAGTAATAGTCACATTCTGTTTTTGTGTTTCAGAATCGGGAACTATTCTTGCTAGCTTTCCATGATTCCATTTCAAATTTTGCACATGGGTATGTCTACAATATCTGGCAGTCGCTATACTCGTCAGGTGGTCTAAAATTTTGTTCAAGCTGCAGCCCTTATGTATAATGTTCCAATGTGTTTAATAATGTCTCTTGGTACAACATCACTTATTTAGTAAAGCACTATGCATAGGAGGAAAGCCAGTATCAGGACTGGTAATAATAACACTGATTCTTTTACTTGCAGGAATGTGGCTCAGTGCCATGTTGCCATTTTCTTTTACTTTTGCATTGCAGCACTGTGACAGCCTGTGATGATGTACTTTTGCCGCTGTAAGGGAACCAGCAGGTCCTTCTGTAAAAAGGCTTTCACTGTAGTTATGCACGTTTGGTGCATATTGGTACATTGTGGTTTCAGGAAGGCTACTGGGAAAGACAGAGTGATGGAGGTCTAGCAGACTGCTTGTATCAGTTACATTCTGAGCTTTCCTAACTGTACTTTAGCCAAGTGGCTCAAGAAAGAAGGGTCACCCAACGAAACCAACGAAGTGAAGAAGTAGAACTGTTCTGTAATGATTGCGACTTATGTTTAACAAGAAAACGCCATTATTAGGGTCCGACCCTACCGTCTTCGAATTAAATGAATTGTGGGTTAGGATTTCGCCAACTGAAAGTGTGATTGTTTTCTTCTATTCGGTTCCTGTCACTTTAAGTTGTAATTATTACACAGGAGTTCAAAACACCCAGTACTGTCCCCTATGCTTTCCTTTTCCTAATTTATAGTCTGTCTGTTTTGTTGGCTGTGTCTATAACAAAAAAAAAAAAAAAAAAAAAACAAGCCCCTCAAACAATTCCCCTTCTATCAGATATGGAAGGTTGTACTTTCACAACATCCTATTTGTCATTGTGCGTTCTTCTTACTCGTGGCTTTGCTTTATTTTACTATTTTCTGGCATTCTATGTAGGAAGGGTTTGGTGGGCACATACATAAAAACTTCTGGCTTATTAGAGAGGCATACTGGTAAATGTGCAGTGTGTTACGAAAGCAGCTCATACAAGTTTGACTCAGTAATTGCTCCATGACAATGTGTCGTAGACATAAATAAACGGGCCTTGCCTATTTCCAACCAGTTGTGACTGTCTTGGTCACCGACCATTACAGTGCACCTACATCGAGGTTGACCAGGTGTTTGAGACCTGTGCGGTCATGCTGAGCAAGCCGGCCTGGATGTGGGGTGCCGAGATGGGTGCCAACGAGCATGGTGTCTGTATTGGAAACGAGGCTGTCTTCACGCATCTCAACGGACCGGACGACCAAACAGAGCGACTACTCGGCATGGACCTGGTGAGGTGAGTGCACAACTGTTTTGCTGAAATCTAGTACTTCCTGTAGTTGAGAGCGTGGGTTTATAATACATCTGTAGTTGGGAAAGGGCAATTGACAATCAGCTGTTTGTAGCATGAAGGCACGAGGAAATTCATACAAATTAGTCAGAAAGCAAGCTTCTTGGTTGCCAAATTCTTCTTTCTGGTCCAGAAATCGAACGTGGGACGAAAGCTTTTTGCAATGATTGCTTTTTACCAATTAAGCTAACGAAAAAGCTAGCAATCGGTAGCTTTCCTAATCCTTTCAACACCTTACTGGATTTCATAGAATTTGTTTGCAACCTGTGAAACTTGTTTATAGATCAGCATGTAACATTTTGGGAGTGTTGGTATGCTCTGCGTCTTTGTGTTCTCGTCATTTAGTGCACTGAGCATTACATCTTATCAAGTCCTTTGAACATTTTAATGGAATTCTGCCGTCTAACGCTGTTATGATTGGCCTGCCTGGCTTGGCGCCCCTTGGAATCATGAGGCGTTGGGGCTGAGCCTACCCTGATTTCTTCCGGGCCAGCGCTCCCAGAGATGCACCAAGAGTGGTGACAACATGAAAGTTGTTCTTCAAGTTCTCCAGTGCCGTTGGCATACCTCGTATAACTCTTTAGACAGGGCCGACCGACTGACGAAATAGGAAGAGCTGTTGGCCGTCGAGGTGGCTTGCTTTGTCATCAAGGTGGCCCGGGCAAAGGGCCCAGCATCTGAGAACCGTCTGCGGATGCATTTCTCACGTTCTCAGTAGTGCCTTAATGCCGCTGTTTTAACAAGTTGTGGTCTGCCTGGCGCTGCACATCCGTCACTACAATGGAATACATAGTTCATTTTCACGTAGGACTCTCCATCTTCGTGCTGTGCTGTGTCGAGCATGGTGTGCAGTGTTTTTTCTCTCGCCATCAGACCAACTGGGTGTGCCTCTTCCCCTTTCCTGAGTTGGCATTTCACCTTCCCCTCTTGGGGGCGGAGGTGAAGATGGGAAAATTTATTGGACTGTCCTGGCCGCTATTGTTTTTTCCTGAAGGGAATCCTGGGAAGGCCAGGCCATAAAATGCGAGTGTTGAGACGCTCCAGACAACCGAAACCTCTCATAAGCTTCCACCGAGAGCTTCCATAATGCTGCTCCCATCATGTAGTAACACGCTACCTGTAAATAGTGTAATTAAAAGTTACTGTCAACAGCTTTGGGATCCTTTCCTCGACATCTCCCCGAGACTCTGGCTGGCACCGGTCCACTGGGCAGATCCCCGACAACATCAGCGTGCAAAATTGAAGGGTGCAATTGCCATCATCGGCTGTGCTTACTCCAACCAGCATGTCATCCGTGTAAAGTTCAAGTCTTGGCTAGAGCCTGTATTCACTGATTATTCATTTGCTTAGACTGATTTGCTTAGCATCATCGCTGTCAATTACCGATTGGTTGCTGCCTGAGCTGATCAGTGGATCATTGCATCATTACAGCATTGGCTGTAATGTTGCAAGAATGCACGAGCTCCACATCTATAAACGATGATGCGTTATGTTGCCATCATCAGCAGCAAGCATACCAGGTTGATCATGGCATGAAATGTCAATAGCTGATAAATTGAGTCTTCTGGCAGCTGTCTACCTCTTTCCTCTATTGGCATACTAAAAAGTCAAGTCTACAAATTATTCATCAGTTTCTCACCTCTGAGGATAATGACTCGAGGCACATAAGTCTATCAGCAGTGAACGTTGCACAGTCCTTCTTCACAGATACCTTCACCCACATTCACACAGATGATGTCGAAGACTAGGTCGAGGACTTGTGGGAGTTGCCATCAAAATGAATAGTAGCTGAAGATTGTCTACATCTTATTGAGGCAAACAGGCGGGATCTTCAACAGGTACACAACTATATGGGCCACTGGAGTTGTTGCTGGCCCACGGAGCGAATGAAGAAGTCGTGCTGGTGAGGGGCACTGTCGCAATCTGTGAACAGTAGGCCCTATCGCACAAACGTTTCTGCAGGATCCTCTGGTGAAGCACGTAGCGTGGGCTACGATTGTGTAGCTGGGCAAGTCAGAGTTGCCCAACTACAAGTCAGAGCTGGGCCCATGCAACAGACAGGTCATTAAATCCGGCAGGTGGGATGTTTATGTGAAAGATGACTGTTTAGGCATTTGATTTTGCCTTTATGCAAGTTAATCGGCAGTTGGCTCACACACGAGCGACCACTATTAATAATATGCTATGGCTCAATCATCAGATGCATTTTTTCATTCCTATGCTGGTACAAAACTTCACATTCATACAATTTTTGCCTGCACTTGCACGCACTATCTTTTTAGAATGAATACCTTTCAACCAGCTCAGCTCTCCTTTATGGCAACGCTCTCATTTGTTTGTTCGCTGCAAGTTATATGCAAGGAACAGAGGTGAGATGATGCATGGTGATGCAGAAAAGCTGTACTGATTTTCTATAGTAGCATAGATTTACTAAGGCCACCCACTGCTGCCACGATTCAGGCAAGGGAGGAAAAATATGCAGTGCGAAAGTGCGGCACTTGCACTGATCACGGGAGGTACCGTGGTGTGAACACATGATTGCACCCAAAATATTTTTCTTTCACTGCTTGTTCTTCGCCTCTACATGATGCTCTGAAGGCTAGATAGTTTGCTACGTGAAAGCAGTAAATTTTCTGGCATGATACTATTAACATGGTTTTAGAGACCATACCAGACCAGTTTTGCACTCACACGAATGTGTACTGAAGCAACACTAACGCAGCAATGGCACAGCCCAAGAAAGCACGATGACAATACCGAGAGGATACGCACGACCAAACTTTCTGTGGGAGCCTGCCAGGTGAAATTTTTGACGTTTACTCCTGCTTTGAAAAAGTTATGTTTTCCAACTTTGCACTCTGCTTGTGAAATCCACATTCCACATGTGACTACAAGATTTGGCCAAGATATTCACAGCCTTGTCTTCGGTCCACAGAATGTGCTTTCTTATCAAGTGCAAGGCTTGATGGAGAACAAGTCACACATACTGGCAGCGACAAGTTGGCTTTGCAGCATCTCTTTAGCAATCCTCGTAATTTACTGTTTACCAAAAAAACATCACGTCACAAAGCTACCCCAAGAAAAGCATTTTTGAGCGGATGTCATACAAACAGAATTATCATAAATAAAACCCTGTCTCCATATTCGTAGTCTTCTCCTAATTTTTGTTGCTCGAAATTATGGCGTTCGTGAGATTTTTCACTGTACCATATGTCTGTGTAGATCTGCAGACATCAGTGTAGCCTACCTAATCTTGAGGTAATTTCATTGTATTCGCATTGATCCTTACTGTCATATAGCAGTCAAGATAGTCACTGATGGTTAATTTCTAGTCAGTCATGCAAGGTTCTGCCCTGGTAAGGAGCGTCTGGCCAGTAGCTGTCAAGCTTATTCGAGCATCAGCAATGGGCACATAAATCTGTGGATATAGCAGAAAGTTGGACAAAGGTAAGGCCGTCTCAGAAACAAATTTGTGAGCTGCCTTCTGCATGCTGTGGAACTTTTGGCTAATGCTCCACAGGAGCATTGTCAAATGACTGAGGAGATTTTAATATTACTGAGCTTCGCAGTTAAAAGGAGACAGCACAATGTTCTGCGTCTTTTGTCATCTAGTGCAACGTCCTTCGTGCAGTAATTAAGGTATACTTCGAGTCTGCTGTTCCTGGTGTCCAGATGGCCCAACCAGGTTCTGTAGAAGCTTTTCCATAAGCTTTGTCTACATCAGAAAAAAGTGGCTGTCTTACAGCATTTATTCCCTCAGGAAAGATGATGTGCACATTTTCATATTTACATCCACATTCCTTATTGTAATTATGAGAAGTACATGCACTCGGTATCATATAAAGTTAATGCCCAGTCATGAAAATGCACCCAAGTTCATCAACACAGCTAACACATCTGTGCCATTTAGACCAGTTGAGATGATTCCTTAAAGGAACACCGAACTGATAGGATCTCTAAATGTGGCTGAGGCTTTGCAATGGAAAAAAAGCCTGTTATCACAAGCTCTGTGGAAATGCAATGGAAAGTTTGGGTATTGTAATGAACGGAAGATTTGGAAATGTGGTTTTGGGCAACAATCTTCCCTTCAGGGGTTATCATGCTCATTTGGGGATGAAAACTTGGAACCAACAATGGTGTGCTTGTGCATATGGTTCAGTGGTGCTGTGGCATACCCTACCCTTCTTCTTTGAGCAGGCTTTGACTTGCTTAGGGCACCTTGATAACAAAAGGCCAGAACTTAATTAAAAAAAAAGGAAGCCCAGTTTCTTGTAGGTCAATTGTAAAGCTGTCTTTTTGCAAGTGTTCTTGCTTGATATGCTAGTATACACTCGTTTGATAGTTTCTAAATTTAGTTGTTCTTGATACTTAAGTGCAAGAAAATGCCGCCGTTACTTCCCACCGGAAGCAGCTGGCATGAACCACAAGTATGAAGAAATGTTGCGACACCTCAGCCTTATCTCTGAGATTCAGCAGTACCTGTGATGTGTAGGAAGTCTCTTGTGGAAGCCATCAGATGCCTGCGGGGTCTCTTTTCTGACACACGGTCAGTCATTCAATTATGCTGTGGATTTATGTTTTTTCTCATTATTGTTGGCCAGCTTGTTAGGTTGCTCGAGATTGTCTTGCAATTCTGTGCCCTCAAAAAAAAAAGAGATTAAATAACTTTCTATCGCTCAGGGGATGAAATAAATAAAGAGATGACTGCACCAATGCAGGAATGCTCTGTTGCCTAATTAACATGAAGTTCTAAATATAATTTAACGACATTATGCATTCCACATCAGGGGTTACGTTCCTCTAGCTGACAACGTTTAGTCGATACGTAGCTCAACTTATGCTTGAGTTTCTATTTAACCTATTGTCATGCTCACAGCATGTAGTCACAGTTTTATCTTTAGCTGTAGCTCTCACTTTTTGTATTACAGAAAAACTGAAAAAACCTA